TATTGCGATGTTGTTATTCTTTAAGTTTTTAACTTTTCAAAATGGCTAATTATGTTCAGGTTCCAATATTATACAGCTTAGCTGTACCTAGAGTTAGAATAACTTGCCATTCGTTCTATATACTTGTCGGCGTCCTTTCCAAACACAGCTTGCATTTTAATTTGCTCCTTCATGTATTAATGCTGCAATTATATTCGCTATTGTCGATGTTTTTATCTTCCATTCATTTAGATTTACATGTTTTTTCTCAAGTAGTAGATGCATCAAGCGCTTCAAAGTATTTAACCGTATTTAGGATATCATGGAGGATGTACAGATGACTGATGTGTCAGAATCTCCTACTCGTATGACTACTAGAGGTCAAAGAATTAACTATGCAGAACTAAACAGCTCGAGCAGTGCAAACCAATACATGTGCGTTCCCTCTTCCAATATCTTCGAAGAATTTTCGTCGTACTTTATTGCGAGTTAGCTTGGATTAGAATGGTTACTTCCACTAAACAATGAAGTAATCGACTTATTTTTTTGCAGTTTCGAAGAAGTTTTACTAATGATGCCCATTTATATGAAGATCTTAACCTTTTGTTTAAACAATTTTTGTAGATATGTAGTGAACATGTGGCTTTGATTTAGGAGTCTTGTGTTAATCTAAGTTCTCACCCTGTCTTCATTAACCAATCACCATGAGCGCTTCAGTGAATCGTCAGAAACCAGCGCAAGTGACAGCGTTTTCCGATCTCCTACTGCAAGTACTCGGGGAAGAAAACGCAGAACTACACACGACGATGCAGCTTCTTTGTCCTCATGGAGTGTGGTAGGTTTCGTTGCCCCTGTTCTCGCAGAAGATGTCTAAGATTTATCTTTTTACAACTTTCCAATTTTAGCCGAAACGCGGCCGACCGCGTGGTGCCGGTGTAACTCGCGGAGCCCGTGGTGGTGGAGTAAGAAGGTCTATCTTTGGCGAACAGCAAGTTGCCGGAGCAGCTGGAGAGATTGAAGAAACAGGACTTTTTGGTGCTGTCAAGACCGGAAGAAACCTGGAGGTATTTAACGTCTTTATTCTATTAATATATGCACAAACTCCACCGCAATCCATTAATTTTTTCTTCTAAATTCTCAAAATTTTGGTGTTCATCATTTAAGATCTTTCTGGTTTCTCCCTTCCATTCT